AGGCCGGTCCCGGCGCTGCCCCAGGATGAACTCTGCCACCGGCCCTCGGTTCGGCAAACTGGGGAGGGCGGTGGCCGGCGGGGCCGAGTCTCAGGGTGAGGGTTTGTTTTGGCTCTTCCCTGCAGGGCTCCAGCCAAGCGCTCTTTGGCCCCGCCGGGCTGCTCGCTCTCGGCGCGGGGCTGTGACTAAGCAGGGCTCCGTGGCGGAGCTGCTTCCCACCGATGGAGGAAGAGGAGAGGCAGCTCCCCTCCCCCTTGTCCCCGGTGCCTGCCGCCGCGCCGTGATTCATCAGCCACGGCCGCCCGGGCCCTCGCAGGCAGAAAGGGATTGCTGCCGGCTCCCAGCAATGCCGAAATTCCTCTCACCCTTTATTGGCAGCTCTCGAACAAACCGGCTGCGGATCCCCAGTCGTGCTGCCCAAACGGCGCGTCCTGCGCTGCAGACATATTGTCTGTATCCCGCTTGCCGCCTCCGCAGCCTTCCCGCCCGCCCCGGCGCGCAGCCGGCTCGGCCTTTCCTTCCTTCTCGATGCCATTGCTGCCCGGGGAGGGGGATGGCTGCTCCCGGCCATGCTGGCCTCTCCTGCGGCCGGCTGGGCCCCCCACGCCCCCCCAGGCAGTTCGGTTCCCCAGTGTGGGGAGGCACTTGCTGCTCTGCTGCGAGTGGAGGAGGATGGCGGCAGTGCCAGGGGAGCACCAGTGGCTCTGCAGCATGTCCCACTCTGGGGAGCGTCCCCGATCCTTCTCGTTTGGGCGATGTGTGTGGCCAGGCAGCCCAGGCTGCTCCCTGTCTCGCCGCCCAGCACAGGTTGGAGCTCCCGGCCCCCTCAGTGTGCCATGTCCTGGCCACCAGCGGGGCCGGGGTTGCACTCCAGGGACTGGGACCCACTGCGGTGTGGGGCAGCCGGTGGTGCTGGGGGGGCAGGAGCTCGCAGAGGGCAGATGGGGCAGGGTGCGGCCCCATGGAGCCACCCGGATGGGATGCTGCCCCGCAGGCGGGCAGAGGGGTGAGGAGCAGGGCAGGGAGCAGGCAGGGGTTCATTCTTATCCGGGTGCCCCCTGATTTCTCCAGCCCTTCTTCCTCCAGCACAGCGGAGAGGGAGGGTGCAGGGTGAACTGGTTGCCAGCCAGCGCCTGTGTTTGGGAGCAGGCAGCTCGGGAGGTCTCCCAGTGCGGGGACGCCAGCAGAGCCGCTGCTGCGAACCGTCAGAGCAACGTGATGCGACGTGCGGAGCGGTGATGTGACAGTCCCGTGGTGCCATGTCCAAAATAGTTAGCACAGCTCTTGCTCGTTGGAGGGCTCCAAGCAGGGACGGGCAGCAGCACAGGCAGCCAGCTGGGAGCGGAGCTGGATCCTGCACGGCCCCAGCCCCGGTAGGTGCCCGCATCCGCGTTGTGAGGCTCAAGACCTGTTTTTCAGAGGTGCTGGGCACCTGCTCCCTGAGAGACCGGATCCCAGCAGGCGCGGAGCCCTGTGCCCTGCCTTTGAGCCAGGTTTCTGTTTTCCCGGTGTGATGCTAGCAGACAGGTTTTTGGGAGCGCGGCTGGGCCGGCTGTCCTCGGTGTTGACGGTTCTGCGCGGGTCACCCCAAGGACGAGGGCACCTCCTGTCGCCGCTGCCGGCGCTGCCCAGATGGATGGCAGGCAGGTGCTGCCTGCCCCTGCCCTTAGTCTGTTGGGGGCTGTACCGTGACCGCAGCCAAACGGAAAGTTTGCCGTGGGGGTGTCGGGGCGCAGCAGCAGCTCAGGCTCTTTCCTCCGCGTGTATTTTAAGCCCTGGAAACCCCCCGGCCCTGGCCCCACTCTGGCCACGAGATCCCGTCTCCCAAGTTCCCCTTGTTGCTCTCTGGCTTGGCACGTCACTGCCAGCTGGGTGCTGAGCTGCAGGAGCTCTGCGGCCTCTGCCAGGGGCTGGCGCAGTTACCTCATGGCTGCCCCCACGCCCACCCATCCCGGTGCCTTGGGACGGGTATGGACCCTGGGAAGGAGGACTGGTCCTCCATGCTGGGGGGGGGGCTGAGCAACGGGTGCAGCCCCCTCCCAAACCAGCCCTCCCAGGAGCAGGTGGAAAGGCAGCATGGCCCCAGCCAGGTGGTCGATGCCCTGCCATACCCCTTCCTCCTGCCCGGCACCCACCGTGGGCATCTGGCTGCACCATCCCGGCTGCCCTGCCGCCTGCGTCCCTCCTGCCCGGCTCCTGCCTGGCCCTGGAGGCCCGTCCCTGAAGCGGGCCTGCGGGCAGCGCGTGGGGTGCTGTGGGATGATGCCTGACCTGCCCCGGCGCTGCTGGCTGTGTTTTGCTGGCTCTGAGCCGGCGGAGAGAGGAGCCAGCCTCGGGCTACAGCACCCGTGCTGCCTGGGGCCAGGGTGTGGGTGGCTGTGGGCAACAGCACCACAGAACCCCCCCCCATGGGGGACGGGGTGTCATTGCCGTCGGCAGCTGCCAGGGTAGCACTGGCCACCCCCACGGTGCGGGGCTGCTGGCGCTTGTTCTGCGCATCGCCTGTGTCTCCCTGCCCATGCATGTGAGCTGGGGCCGAGGGTGTGCATCAGCACTGCGGCCGGGACATGCCGGGGACATGCTGGGGATACGCCGGGGATGCTTGCTCACTGTCCCTGTCATCCAGGTGCAAGGGGTGCTGCAGCACGGGGGATTCCCAGGAACTGGGTGGAACAGGGCAGGACTCGGCTCTGAAGCACATCTGAGACATGGCGAGGCAGGGTGGGGTCAGGGGCAGCACCAGGGCTCCGAGCACCCCCAGGGCTTTGAGCACCCCTGTGCACCCCACGGCACTCCAGTGGCCTTGGGCAGCCACTCCTCCTGCTGGACACCAGCACCCGCAGAGCAATCCTGGCCCCAGGGCCACGGCTGCCTCCCCACTCAGCACCGGGACCTGTTTGCAATGAGGAGAGGCCCTGGGGACCCATCCTTCCCCCTCCTCTGGCACGGCCTTGGGGCTGCCATCAAGGCTGGGGGAGGCAGCTGGAAACCAGCCGCACCGGGAAGGGCCCGAGGGCGCACTGGGCGCACGGGTATCCCCACGGGCTGCGGGGAGTGGCCCTGCAGAGCCAGCGGTGGCTCTTGGGGCTGGGGTTCCCCTCGGGACCTTGTCCCTGGGCATTGCAGGGACTTGTGCAATGGCCAGGGTGGCCGGGGTCTGCCAGCTGGGTTCTGTGACACCAGTGGAAACCAGCCGCACCGGGAAGGGCCCGAGGGCGCACTGGGCGCACGGGTATCCCCACGGGCTGCGGGGAGTGGCCCTGCAGAGCCAGCGGTGGCTCTTGGGGCTGGGGTTCCCCTCGGGACCTTGTCCCTGGGCATTGCAGGGACTTGTGCAATGGCCAGGGTGGCCGGGGTCTGCCAGCTGGGTTCTGTGACACCAGTCCCTACAGGTGGCTTTCAGCGGCCACCCCACGGGCTGCGGGGAGTGGCCCTGCAGAGCCAGCGGTGGCTCTTGGGGCTGGGGTTCCCCTCGGGACCTTGTCCCTGGGCATTGCAGGGACTTGTGCAATGGCCAGGGTGGCCGGGGTCTGCCAGCTGGGTTCTGTGACACCAGTCCCTACAGGTGGCTTTGCAGCGGCCACCGACAGGCCCCCGCTGCACCCATCAGCCCTGCTCTCCTCTCATCCCAGGGGAGGAGTGGGCCCCGTCTGATGCCCCCGGCCCTGGGCAGGTACGGCACGCAGAGCAGCCCCAGCCATGCTGCAGAGCGGGAACATGAGGATATGGCAAATGGGGGAAGCTGAGGTTAAAGCAGGCGGGTGCCCCCCCGCCCTGGTGGGAAGCGCCCCGCGGGGATGCACAGCGGACAGTTAACAAGGGCTGCTCGCTTTCCGACTGGAGTGCCCCGCGGAGCCTCGATGTGCTCTCGCTTCACGGCACCGGGGAATTGCCTCTGCCTGGCTGAGCATCCCCAGCCATGTGCCGTCCATGGAGCAGTGGGCGGTGCCGGGCTGGAGGTGCCAGTGGTGCTCGGTGGCGCGGGCGCTAGTGCCACATGGACGCACGGGAGGAGCTGGGATGGGCTGGGTGACCCGGCGTCAAGGGGCAGCACCTCGCCCCGTGGCCCGTGGCTGGGTGCAGCACTGTCCCGGTGCCAGCAGTGGGGCTAGTGCTGCGCAGGCTCGCCCAGGCTGGGGGCTGCAGGGGAGCCGTGCCTGCACGTTTGGGGGGCCAGGGAGCTAATCCCCTGCGGAATGCCCTGGCTGGGGGAGAGGGGACGCCCGCGCCGCCTGGGCGCAGGCAGCGTTGGGTTTCAGGGCAGCTGCCGCGCTGGAGCAGCGACAGGGACAGATGGCGGCAGGGCTGGCCCCGGCCGCGTGCGGGGGTTTTGGCTGTGCCCGGCAGCCCTGCCCTGGCCACGGGCGCTGCCATCCCTCCGGCCGGTGGAGCAGGACGGATCCTGCTCAGGGCTTTGCCCGGGGCTCCGTGCCCAGTGGTGCGGGGTGGCAGGAGGCACCCGCCATCCCCCGGCACCGCTCCCCGCACATCCAGGACTCTGGGAGGTATTTCCATCTGCTCGGGGGTGTCAGCCTGGCCTTGAAGCTTTTGCTCGGCTGGTGGCCCCACGGGCAGCGCCCGGCTGTGCCGCCGCAGCGCTCCCAGGGGTTCACCCCTCCAGTCTGGGACACATGGTGCCACCACGGGTATTGTCCTCAGAACTGGTGCCTGGAGGCTGCCAAGCCCCCCTGCCCACAGGTGCCGATCTGGGGAAGCCCTGGGGGGACGGGGCGGGGGAGCCCCTGGCTGCAGCCCTGGCACCTTCCCAGTTGCACATCAGACTCATGGCCACCTCACGGGGCTCAGCGATGGGGATGTGGGATGTGCAGGATTGGGGCCAGGGGATGGGCCGGCTTCCTGCAGCAGAAAATACCCGGAAGGCTGCGTGGGTCTGTGGGGGCACCGGGGCTGGCTGTGTCCGCCGCGGAGCCCGGGGTGGGTGAACCCTGCTGGCATGAGTCTTGGCCTGCTGGGGAGCCGCAGCAGGACCCCCAGCCCCTCCCTGGGCAGGCAGGTGCTTGCTGTGGGTGCTGGGGGACCATGAGACCTGGGGTGCACCCATGCCCACAGCACAGGGGGGATTGGCAGCACCTTCCCTGGCAGCCTGGGGCTGCCCCCGGGCTCGGTAGGCTCCAGCGTGGGGTGGTGAAGCGGCGCCAGCCCTTGTTTGCAGAGCCCACACTTTGCCCCTTGCTGAAGATTGTGGAGAGCTCTGCAAACACGGCTGAGCCCGGTGCATGACATCACCCTGTGGTGAGAGCCGCTTGCTGGGGCCAGCGGGTGCCGGTCACTGGTGTCCCCATCGTCCCACGCCACCGGAGCTGGGGCCACATGTGGCAGTGGTGCTGGAGCCATGTGCCCACAGCCCCGGGACAGGTCGGGCATCATTCCCAGGCAGGAGTGACAGCGCTGCCCACTGCAGGGGGGTCAGGGCTGTCACCCTGGCACGTGCCCGAAGGTGCATTTGCAAAGGACTGGTTAATGGGGGCCGGGGGGGGATCACCGCTGCTGGTCACCGCAGGTGGTCCCTGCACATCCACTTTTGCAGAGGGCACATACTGCTGCTTCGCAGGGTGCCCGCCCCCGCCTCTCTGTCCCCAGCACTGGGGTGTACAGCGGGCGTCCCTGGGGTCCCCAGCCGCCAGGCTCCCCTGGGGATGGCCGGGACGGGGGGTGATTCCCCTGGCTGCTCCCCTCAGGGTGCACAGAGCAGGCACCGTGCCCCCCGCCTGCCCCACGTTGGGGCAGCGAGTGGCCGGGCCCCACGTGGGGAGGGGGCTGTTTGCTGGCGACGGTGGCGGCGGCGGCCTCGTGTGCATTCCTGGGCCATGAGTTCATGGCTGTGCGCGGGCCTGGCCGCGGCCCTGCGCGGCGCTGGGGGACATGGGCCGGAGCGGTGACGTCAGGCCGCGGGGCCCGCGCCCATCCTGCCTCCGGCCGCGACGCGCCGCCTGGTGGGAGCGA